GGCTATAGAGACCACATTTCTGCTCTTCGCCAAATTCTAGAATACAGACGTGCTTTTCGTAGGCCCTACAAGTTCTATCCTCCTCGATCTGAAACTTTTGACTCAGTCGACCGCTCTATACTTCAGTGCTGCCTCTCCCTCANGGGTGTGCCCCAGAAATTTACTTCAATTTTGCGACCTCTATGCGAATAACTGAAGCCGAGTTCGAACTTGCGACACTACTTTACCCAAGTTCAATACAGAAAGGGGTGTTCATCAAGATTGCTCTTTCTCTTTTGCTATTCAACTTCGTTAGAGATTAAGTTCTGTTCTCGTGAGAGACTAGTAGCATTGAGTTACCCCAGGTTGGTAGATTGCCTCATATGGAGTATGCAGAGGACATTATATTGCCAAATGAAGATCTGGGTTGAAAGCAGACAAATATTGCTGTCTAGGTGGCTATACCTCGACTGGCGGATGCATCACCTATATGTCGGCACGCATACGGAAGGCTCGAAAATCACTGGCCAACCTGGGACATCCATGGCACCGCCGCAACATCCGGCTGTTCGCGAAAAGCCNNNTATGCTGCAGTTCGGACGGTTTTGCTACACGGCACAGAAACTCTGCCATTACGAAAAAAAGATGAAGAAGGACCGTCGGTGTCGGAACATCACTATCTACGTAGCATTGCACAAATCTGGTGGGGTAACCGGAAAGGCAACGCTGAGTTTTGGTTAATAGTGGTTGTCCAGTGGAGAAAGTCATCTACCTAGATGGATTAAGTGAAATACGTGCAGTTGGTTGGGACATGTGTTACACATGTAACCAAATAGATTGCCACGTCGCATGCTGTTTGACGAAGCAGGTAGTACATGGAAAATGCTAAGGGTGGCCAAACTAAGATCCGGCATGAGGGTATGAAAACCATGACCAGGAGACTTGCTCATATAGGTCACGTTAGGATTCGTCGATTGGGGCCTGGGATCAGCGTAACCAATAGTTGGATACACTAATTGGCTGATTATGGTAAAGTAACACTCATGCATCTGCTCACTATCAATGTAACCTAAGTTTTCATAAATTCTTCGTTTTCTCTTCAACTCTACTTCCCCAACTTCGTCCCACAATTTATCCAAATGGGTAGCCAAAAACATCCAAAACTGCCTCAGGAAAGTGCATGATAGGTGGTTCTTGAAGCTGAAACGAGCAGAGTGTGGTCCACGCAGTTACGAACCCAGCAGTATAATATATAAATACATATATATATATATATCTTTTTGGAAACAGTGCACTTGATTTTGTATACTTGGATGTGATAACCATTCCCGAGGGACTATTTACGTTATAGAACTCGATGGAGATATAGATGACTAGCTTTTTATTAGTTGTTTATTGTTGGAGTTGAGTGTTATCTTGGTAAATAACTTTAATTTATTTACCTGTTTGCCAATACAGTCGCGGTCGTTGACTGGAGCATGTGATCGACCACCGTAGATTCCGCTGTTTGGTACATGTGGCTCTGAAAGAGCTGTCTATCCAAAAGCCACTCGGTGTTGCAAACAAGGTTATTGTGCCGCAAATACACTTTCTGCATACAAGTATATGAATAAACTAACAAAAGATTACCCGATACGCATGCCTGACGAGCAACAAGAGCCGCGAAACCGGTCGTGTGCTTTCAGGGGAATTTTGTCCAGTCATTTACATACTACTTACTGTGATATACATAAGCATATATTTATCGAAAATATAAGTAAAGAAACATACTGAATATTCCAACTCCTTGACTAATTCTGAAATTTCATCTTCACCATCAACATCGGAATCCATTTCGTTCGATGGGGAGGGCTTTTTGAACCGGGTGTACAACCGAATCACGGATGGGGAATTGCTGCGTGAATCGTTCCTACTTGTGGGGAGCTCATTTGGGCCAGGAGATTGCAAGCTGAACCGAGTCACAGGAGTTGTGTTCCCTGATGTGTTTGCAGACCGTAGATCACCAACATCCCCACGAGCTGACATATCCGGAATTGAATGGGGAGTCGTTTGCCGTTGCTCTATTCCATCTGCCCGAGAGCTGGCCGTGCTTATGGCCTTCGAGGAGCTCACTGATCGGGGACTGTTGTAGAAAGAAAAACTGGTTGGTCAACTTCAAGAAAACTTTGTGTTACGTCATGGTCTAACGACTGTCAGCCGCGTGTCTTCAATTACTGTGAGTTACTTGTGAAACTTTAGGATTATCGTAAAACTTAGTGTCAACTTTGTAAAAGGGATTCTCGTAGACCCTAAACGTCCATTTCATGCCAAACTGACACCTCGTTGTTCCCGTCCCTCCAAATAATCTGGATCACTACAAATACCATCTAGTATAAATGCTTATCGGAATTTACCTTGCATGTTGATTGACAAACAAAAAGTGTGTATCAAGGGAATTTCGTCGCAAACCTCGAATTGTGAAACCTATCCATGCTGTTTGTGAACTTCAACAATATAATTTCAAAATACAGCGTGAAACAACCCACAGTTACATATTTTCACTTATTTATTACCCGTCGTGAACACAGAAATGGACGGACATTTATTTGACTACGATACATGGAGATTCCCATGCACCATACCCTGATACAGGTTTTGCCTCAGTATTCACTAAATTAAAGCCGATTTCTGTGTAACGCGAGTGTTATTTAATTAAGCTACCCTGCATCGATGGCTCGTTTTCTTCTTCGCGAACACAGAAATAAAACCCACTATGTCGACATCCTCAACGTGTCAGTCTTCGCGGTAATCCGGAAACATTTCCTAGATTGATATTGATTTTTGTTTCCTACTCGATGTATACAACAGGTACTATTAGTTTTATGCTAATCCACAGGGGCAATAGAGTGCGGAATGAAAAAAGTTCAAGCGCAGTTCATTTCCATAACTAAAGTCCTTCGTAACCAGGTCAAGTAGCAAAGTATTTCCGCAACTCACAAACTTATCCATCTGCCGAATTGTTTGTGCACCCGCTGAACGAGAGTCCGCCGATTTGTTTTATCCATTGATTGGTCAAAAAACAATTCCAGTCTTATTTCTTGTCAGATGGACTCAAAAGACGAGTTAGGAGTATTTCTTTCGAATGAACTTTCGAATGAGTTTTCGGGATAGCAGTCATATGGATCTTGTTAAGCCACACTATTCGAGGAGTGCTGTACCTTGGAAAGACTTCGAGTTTCCAGTTACACTGGATTGGGCGGCCTATACAGAAGTGCACAACCACCGTCGCGAAGCGCCAGCTTCATGGAGTGAGAAAACGACAGGCTTCACTTTACCATAGTAACTTTAAACAACAGCAGACAAATTAATTCAAGGCGTCATAAAATAATGCCTCGGCAGCATTCTTCAATTCACGACCAAACCGGATGGCGCCATATTTATAAAGATCGGTGTTATACGTACACTAGGGCCATTTGACACAGCCATGAGAAAAAATATCTCCCGATGGATGATATCTATTATTGTGAATTTGTTACAGTCCATCACATTGAAAGAAACTCGAACTGAAGACATGACTCGGATCTACATGTGCACGTATTTCGAAGGCCATGTCAGCTACCCTGTTAGTGATTAAGACAAGTGCGCAAACCATCACTCTTCATTTTCGCCATACCCACGGATTCGCATGGACCTGATTGACTTCTTCGAGTGGGATCTTTCGCGATGACGCTGAAATACGTTTCCGTTTCTATGGTATGCAATTGTAGTGAAGATAGCAGACAACAGGCGAAATCACAAATCTAGAGGTCACAACCGGCTGACTGGGTAGTAACGGCACATTCACTGCAAATTCTTTTTTGTGGGAACGTTTCTTTGAGCCGGGTCCTTGCGGCTCTTGAATAGTGGGCGGCTGCACCATCCGGCAGAAAATAAATTGTTTTCACCCTGAATCCGACGGGTGAATACACTGATTAAACAGCGTAGAAATCAACTGCAAGCATGTAGTTCAAATATTTGTACTATCAAAGAATTAAGGGTCTGGGGGTGTCATGTGTGCACCTAAGACAGCTCGAATTTTCCAAGGCTCTAGCAGTGTATGCAAGACTAAAACACATTTGGCGACGACTTGGTGTCTCATTGCAGTTGAAATAATGCGTATACTGCTCCGTTGTACGATCAGTTCTTCTTTACGGATTCGAGACCTTGAATTTGCGAAAAGACATCTGTCGCCTGGTGGTTTTCGACAACCGATGCATACGTAGCCTGGCCCATGTGTGGATGGAGTGAGCGGGTTAATAATCCAAAGGTAAGTTGTCGGGTGGTTGTGAATGCCTCGAACAAGAACTCGCTATAGTATCGAATTCAACTGAGTCGGGTCCGTTGGCTACAATCCGTTTTGTGTGTGTTTAACGGTCGCTTACCACACCGCGACTTATTTGCAATGGCCGCTGCGGACTGGAGAAAGTCACGTTAAGACCAGCAGACGAGGCATCAAGAAATAAATAGAGCGATTAGCGAGGGACTCCTACTCTAGTAGGGGTTCCTCGTCTTCCGGGTTGGAGTCCAAAAGACTCCGTAACCGCTTGGTTGAAGATACTGAAGGTCATGGCAACAAACCGACAGCAGTGGTGACCTTGATGTCACTTCTTGTCAGACCGGAATGCTTGAAATAGTATTTGTACACAGTTGGACTGTGCTCTCTGTATATTGACCATAGAGGTTGGCTTTCTTTCCCCGTCTCCCAAAATAGGCACAACTTGTGCACAGGAAAGGATGAATTCATGCCACTGACTTCGGTTCGATGTCATATTCCGCGGTGTCTTTAGCCAGAGACAATCTGAGTCTTCGGGACACCAGTCAGGGAGCCAGGAAGCACCAACGCACCTCGCTGTTTCTTCCTACCTGGACCGGTCTGCGAATAGTGTGGCAGACGTTATTCAGACATTCATAGGACGTGCCCTAGTCACCTAAAACAATGCTGTGAAATTATTTTGCTTAACGGAGGACTATCTGATCCTAGCATCCGTCGTCTGACGTCATCGTTAGTCACGCGATGCTCCCACCATACGCGGGTGATGTTGAGCAGACAACGGTTGGCGAAGACCGATAGTCGTTGGACGTGATCTGCTCGGAGAGGCCAGGTTTCGCAGCCATATATCAACACAGTGAGTACCGCTGCGCAACACACACGCTCTTTCAGTGAAAGGGATGTCATGCCGGCGCAAGAGATGCCGCGGATTAGCAAACGCTAATCTAGCTTTGATCACGCGTTGAGAGATCTCGCCCACACCTCTGCTAGTCGTTATGCCCCTCCCGAGGTAGACGAAGCTTTCGGCTACTTCCAGGGCGTCATTACCCAACGACGGACTACGAATTTCTGAGTCCAAAAACGGGTTAAGACAACAGGATTCAAATGGCAACATGTATAAAGAATGCAACTGAATTTACATCATTCGACATTATATTGCTAACCGACTCTAAATCCTTATTTACAATAAATCCGCTCTCTGTGAAAGTGATTCTATCCATTATGAGTGCAGTAACACTGAATCAATCAACAGCTCTCGTGGACGATGGGTAATAACTGAGCAAGGCATGAGCGTCACATTATTGGACAACACGATTTCTATCGGTTTGAAGAGATACCACAATACTTACCTTTCGAAGTCATCTTGGTATTCTTTGGGTCATGATTCAAGCGAAGCAGGACGAAACCCAATTCAGTGATTCAGCGAAGAGGCGGCAATGTCACCAAGTAGGTGTACGAAATGTATATGAAGAGCGTAGGGTAAAAAGTTTTATTTAGTCATGCAGGAGATTGAGAACATGCTCAGGATATGAAACAACATAGGACGCAGTGAACTGAACTACAGACAACCTTTATTATAACAGGTAAGACAAGTGAGGCTGTTTGTGATCGATGAAAACAGTAAGCAACAACATTGCGTGTGACGTAACAAAACTAACGTGAGCATACTACAGTTTCATGGTAAGAATTCTCACGATTGAAGTCCTAACCAGAAACACTACATATAGTTTGAAAATCGACGAAAATCACAATTCTCAACCAAGATGTGTCAAGAAATGTGTCACACGAAGAGGCTAAACTACGGTTGCGGAAACTTGGCATACTGTAAGAATCAAACGCATCTAACCGGATCTCGCAATCTCAATTATATACCAAGTATCGTCACAAGAAGCATGGTAATTAAATCATTTTAACACCGGAATGCATCCTCGGAAGCCGAGTTCCGTCTACGTTTTCTTTTCCAGTTTTACCTCTTTTTATTGAATACGTAATGATACAATTTTCAGGAAGGGGGAAGCGGCCAATCAAAGGGCTACCGTACATCACACAACAGACAGATAGATAAGTGTAAAACAACGCGGCAGCAAGTGTGACTGCAATTGCGAGCTCTTGTGCGAAACTGATTCCGTATCTGTCCTCTAATGAATTACTTCACAGTCGTATCGTGTCATTGAATCATAACAGTCTATTCAATATGCGACTATATGACTCTGGTTAGGGCATTCTCTATTCGCCTCAGTTATTGCAATGCAATCTTTATGTATAAAGATATATATTAAAATAAAGTGTGAAAGACTCTACAAAATCTCCCTGTAAATACACGACCGGTTTCGAAATTCTTGCCGCACGCTAGACATGCGTATCCGGGGTTGGATGTTGTTCCAACAAAGTTACCCGATGTTGCAAATGAGGTACTTGACGAAGAAGCATATGAGGAAGTATATGAACGAACTGATCCTCATAAAGAGAAAACGATAGAGATCAAGGAGTGAAAAACATTGACAGAAACTTCCTACTGAACCTACCCGGATCATGTGAGGATGGAGTGGGTTGCAGGTCATTGGCTCGAAGACCAGGTACGACAGCAGACTGTGTGGAAGAAGAACTATCAGATTCCCGACCGTTTGATCTTAAAACCGAATGGTCGGGTCCCGAACCGTTTGGAGTTGCCTGTAACAGGGGATCAACAAAATCGGATTCGTGCACTTTTTTATTCTGAAGGTTGGAAAAAGGTATGGCGGCCGAACGATCGGACGATGGTTGTGAATCATTATCCGTGAGGGCATCAGATGCAACCGCATTCCGGTATCCATTCTTCCGAGTAGATTCATCAACGGTTTGATCGTAGCCATGACTGAACCAAGTGAATGAATAATAAGGGAATGTTTCAAAAGACTAGCATGGATGTAAGAAAAAGCAGTTGTCGTTGCTTAGTCCCAAACACAAGCAGACTGACAAATGCTGAAGCATGCAAAACGGACAAATGGCAACTTAGCGCGGCTGAAGAAAGAAAAGCATTTCAAAATGAGGCTGGCCAAACTACACATGTTATTACTCGGGTATTGTTTCGGAAAATCAGAAAACTCGGTTTGTCTTGCTATGACAAGTGTTAGCGATTTACCCAAATTATAATATATAGGCGCAGAGAATCCTCCCGCAACTTCAGTCCAGATAGCACAAAGATTGCATCATAATGACTTCAAGGCTTCCAAAGGTTGGTTTCGCTCTTGGTCAGATATAAGTGGTCATCAATCCTACAAAGAAACAAGCAACTACTCATTTGCATTACTTTATAGCTTTGTGGGGAAAGTTTGGCGGTACCTTATGATGCAGTGGACGAATTTCGAGCGGGGGTTGCCGCAGTTGATACATGAATATGCTGACTGATATTTTCATTTTAGATGCAACCGCTTTGTAATACAGACAGCTCCCAGAAAGAACATCAAGTCTGGAAGGAAAATTAGTTTCTAGGTCCAAGAAATCCAGGCTCGGCCAATCATGGAACATTTTTCTTTTTATAAAGATTATTATACCATGATTTGTTTGGCACACAGTCTGTCCTCAGACAAGTGTGAAAATATATATATAAACCAAGAAATCCAGAGAGTCACGTTACTGCTTTGTGGGGACATGACTGGAGAAAAGTTATCACCGTTGGTGATTGGAAAGTTTCAAATTCCATGATACCTTCGAGGTATAGATAGAAAAAGCCTCCCATGCAGTTATAATTCTTCAAAGAACGCATGGCTCACTTCTACGTTATTGCACGGTAAGCTGCCTGATGTCTACCGTAAAATGGTTTCTCAAAAGGCGCTGTATTTTACTATTTATGAACAATGCTCCCTACCATAACCAAGCCGCAGTATTCTCCAACGTCAAATTGGTACGGCTGCTTCCGAACTGTTCTTCAATGTTACAACTAATGGATCGGAGCGTCATTTGGTCTTTCAAAAGTTCGTTTCGGAAACATTTACTAGAATATGTTTTGTCTTTGATCGAAGATGAGCAACCTATCATGAAAGCCGAGGTGGACATTCTCATGGCTATGCATTTTGCTACGGTGATCACCAGAGCCACGGTCATTCGGTCTATCGATGGGCTCTGTCGTACCAACATGCAACGATAATCGCGATTGACTGGTAACCGGGTGAGTGGAGTGAGAAGTCAGATCCGAGCGATCGATAACCACCGTCGCGCGGACGCGCCTGTGTGAATGAATGAACGACACTCTCTCTTGGCCTAGAGCACCGATGAAATTAGACAGATCACTTACCAAAAGTCATCGTAACCCGGGTTTAAGGACAGTTCGAGATACACTTTTTGTTTATGAATCGGTTATTGTTTGGGAGTTGCTGTACTTTTTGTAGGCCGGTACCTATGGTCTTCGGTTGGCTGAACAGGAATGAATTTCTTCCAATTGAACTCCCGTATCACGCCTGCCGGAAATTTGCGAGAACCCGTTTAAAAAACAGTGCGTCTTAGACGAGTCAAACGTCGGGCCAGTGTCATCATTGCTTGAACCTTTTCATCCCGAATCTCCCACATGGCGCATCGTTCTACAACTGATTCTCGACGAACACTTAAGCAGTATCCGATTCGGAACTTATCCTCCTCCCTTGCCGGCCCGAAAATCACACGACCGATCGGGTTTACTTATCGGTCGGTCGGATAGATCACCGCAACCTGGCGCTTGCCCACTTAACCCGAGCGAGAAACCACATTGAGTCTACAACCGCGGGTCCTTAGCAGACCCAGTGAACTTCGGCTGTACAGCAGGCGTGCCTGCACCACACGGATGGACTGCACATGACAACAAGATCACCACAAAAAGTACAAGACAATGAGAAACGATGGAGTAATCGGACAATCGTACTATTCACATAGCAACATGACATCTTTAATTGATTGAAATTGAAAAAGGTATGGTTTATGAATCACGTTATGGCATCGCATGCAGAACATAGTCTGACCAACAACGATCATGATGAATACATCAATCATTTTGAATATACTGGTAACAAAAAAAGCGAACGAATAGACGTCTACAGACGCCAATATTTTTCACTAGAAAATCACAAATAGATTGCACAGTGAACAATCAGTTTGAATATGGGAAAAAAGTCAATGTTCTGAGTATATCCTGTGATAGATATTTCACTCATTTTAGATGTCATTTCTTTCTCACTGTATTCAAACTGGTTCACCTTTGTTTTCCTTGAATGGGCTAACACTGATGTGAGTATTATGGCTAAAACAGTCGTTAATTATAGTGGACGTCATATAATCGATTCTGTGGTTAGCCTAACATTGCAACGGAATGGAGGAGTTTCTGGAATTAATGTGGGATAATTGGGGCAGAAAACGTTCCCCTGAAGGAAGGTAGGTAGTTTCGGAATAACTAGACATAACGGAAAACGGGTCGAACACCGCATGCAATGTACCGATATTAAGCCAAGGGCGTCATAAAAGATTTAATTTTTTCGACATATAAAGGATACGCAGAACTGTAGATCTAAATTCCGTTATAAATAAACAGTACATAATTATAAACATTGGAAACAACTAACGGGATTAACCTACATTTTATCGATCCGGGTTAATTTATCACAAAACCGTCAGCCGATTTCTACACTACTTATTAGCATCTACTACTGTTTACTCTGATGTC